CCACCGTCACTATATTTTGTTATTTTACGTTGTTGTTTTTTTTTTCCTTCCAACAATTTATCAGAGGATATATTTTAAGAAATCGAATCGATTTGCATATATATACACAATCAACTAAATTAAAAATTTCGAAATTTTGGATAAGATTTGTTTATCTAGAAAAAATTCTTTTTCTCTCCCGAAAAACCCTAGCCGCCTCACCTCCGTCCCTTGGCCATGCTTGTCCGGCACTCGGCGGCTCTTTCAGCGCTGGTGCCGTCCCGTCCTTAGTTCCTTTATGCTTGTCCTTTTCTTCGGTTTGTTCATAGGCTCTCCTTTGATTGATGCTTCGCTACGGTTTGGTACGGATGGAGAAAGCTGTGTCGTTTGTGCCTTCGCCGGAGATCAAATCTTGCATGTGAAATCAAGCAGCACCTTGTGGACATCGGATGGTCATCGTGTATCCCATCTCTTAATCCTTTGATTGGTCGTTCTACTGTTCATGTCATATCCAGTTTTCTTCTGTTGAGAAATTGTATCGGGTCTTACTTAGGTGTTGGTGCTTTGTTATGTTTGGTCTGGTCTCGTCTGTGCAGGTGTGGATAGTAATCTTCCTCCGATTTTATCGTTCTGATCAAGCGTAGTATTGCTAGGATCCTTGTTGTATTTTCGGCTTTGATGTTTGTGATGCTAAGTCTCGTATTCTATTACTGTTATAGGAGCCTCAGGTTCTCTCGTTCATTGTTGGTTCGAGTGTGCGTAGTCGTTAGTATGGGTTGATTTGTTCTTCGATTAGCATTCTTATTATTTCGTTGGTTCTTTTTCAATCTCCTCCCTCCGCCTCTAGTGAAGTGAATAATCAGTTTTCGCATGTGGTCTTACGTGGTCGGTTCTTGTAAGGCTAACCTTTTGTGGGGATGCAAAAATCTAGATTTAGACCCTTTGGGTTGAAGATTAAGTGGGTTGGTGTTTAGGATCCCGTTCATGGCTATTTGTTCTTGCTAATTGTTGTATTTGGGTTATCTTCGTGGTTTCTCCGGTCTCGTTGACGTCAGGTGAGCTTTGTGGTCCCGCGTCACTGCTCTCTCCGCGCTCTCCGCATTTTGCTAGTGTTTCCTTCAGGTTTCTATTATTAGTGGTAGTTATGTTTTCTAGTTATCTGTAATCTTTGGTTTTTACTTCTTGGTAGTGTTATGGCTATGTTTTCCAGTAATCCTTCGGGCTTTGGCATCCTGGTAAACTCTCGGGCTTTGGTTTTTCGTAAACTCTCGGGCTTTGTATGTTATCTCGAGTTGTATCCTTTGTAATTTTGGATGTTTAATATAAAATCTACCAGTGACAAAAAATTTTTTTTTTTGTCAAATTGTTTACCTTATGGGTGTTTTAAAATTGTTTATTTGTTAACGAAAGCAATGCTTAATGATTCAATACATAACATATAAGAGCATGTTTATTGGTGAACCCTCTATCAAATTTTTTT